TCAAGCAAGCAACGTCGCCAGAGCACAAGGTTGCGGGACTCACGCTCCGTCATATATGGCCCTTATCAGAGTGCTAAACTCGCTAGGCCGATCGTGCATCCGGACGACAGGGCAGTTCTCCAGCGTCTCGACGTCGGCGTGCGATTGCGGTATGTCGAGCATGGATTGGAAGACCTCCGAATGGCGGGCGAGAACTCCGCGATGGACCTTGAATACGACGGTGCCTTCATCTTCGCCGGTGAGCAGCATGATGTTGCCATCGTCGAACGATGGCTCGCCTCGTTCGTACATCCGTCGAGCCGCAAAGACACGGCCACCCTTGGCTTCAGGCGGAAAGGAAATATATTTTCCTGCGTAAACGTATGAATATGAGCCATATATCCCAGGGTTGGCAGTCAGAGTACACATACCTCGGTAACAGCGCAACAAGGCTCGATGGCCTGCTTTCAACCCGCGACGTTGTACGCGGCTGGAGCGCGTTGCCGAGCCCGGGGGCGCGTCTGCCGAGATGTCAGTGCCGATGGCCTTCGTCGACATCGCCTCGGTGATAATCCACAGACACTCGTGAAATGACTCTGGCTGCGCTGCGACCGACAGACATCAAGACATAAGTCATATCGAAAATTACGCTGGCTACAGACATGTCGAGCTCGTCCTCATCGCGGACGCCTTCGCGCGCAGGCACACCCATCCCAGGTTACTCCCCCGCACGACTCGCCCCGCCTCCCGTTCGCCCCGTTCCCTCCCTGACCTCGCTGCGAGTGTACAGCTATGGCACCCCCTCTGTATCGCACACCCCCCTTTCTGTCTCTCCACCAGCTGGCGCCGTGTCGCATGGGCGGCACGGGGGACTGGACAGCTCGGCGTCATCCGCAGTGAACGTCGAGGCTTCCGTTGGCATCATAATGAATGCGCCCGAGCCGGACGCGGAGGTAGATATGAGCGACGCCGAGGGAGAGACAGTGACGGGTCACTCTGAGGAACACTTTGGAGACGAGGACTCGAAGAAGGCCCTCCGGGCCCAGCTCAGGCGGACGCTGGCTGCCAGCGAGAGCACTCTGACTGGTAGGTGACTCCCTCGTCTTCTAATTGTGTATGACACTATTATATGCTGTGTTACAGGCCATAACAGACACAACAAGTCCCCAGACGTGCTCGAAACGGCCCATGCTCAAGGTAAGGATCCTGGCATAAGCACCATTCGGAGCTCATGCCGGCCTGCATTACCTTAGTCGAGAAGTACCTGCCTCGTCAGTATTTCGTTCTTACCGATGCCGGGAAGCCTGTCTTTGTTAGGTCCGTCGTTCCTCTTGTCTGGTCCGATGTCATTCTGAGTCCTTTACACACGTCTGCTCAGTCGTCAAGACACCGAGCAGTCTGAAAGCTTCACCTCTACCATCGGCGTCATTCAAGCACTCGTGTCCGTGTTCCTAGACGACGGAGACAAGCTGCGATGCATCAACGCGGGTCGGATGCGCATCATGTTCCTCCTGCGGTCCCCATTGTACTATGTTTGCGTCTCCTCGTGGGGAGAGCCAGAGTCTGTGGTAAGCACTACCGCTCGCTTTCTTCAGGCGGAAGCTCACGCTGGCAAAGCAAGACGCGGTTCCATCTTGAATACCTGCACCTGCAGATCTTGAGCGTTGTCTCGGCGGAGCAACTGCGGCGGTTGTTTGAACGTCGGACGAACTTTGACCTACGGCGTCTTCTGAGTGGTACGTTGGTACACTGAATAACTCGTGAACAACGAAATGACGGCCTTCACAGGTGCTGAACCATTCTTGCACTCTTTGCTAGCACGTCTGGAATGGGACCTTGCGATGAGCACGTCGTCTCTGCACTGTCTCAAGCTGGATCCGGTACTGAGGAAGAGCATCGCGGATGTTCTCGTACCGACCTCCAAGATCAAGGTCGGTTGCGTCTCTAATTCGGCGCATATAGTCACTAATGCACGGTCTACAGGATGTATTGTATGTCATGCTACTTGCACAAGGACGGGTTATCACTTTGGTCAGGCCCAAAAAGCACTCGATACATCCTTCAGGTAATTGCGCCACCTCTGTATTAAGGAGGCGAGCTCACCAACGACCCGGGTAGATCTTCACATCCTCATCAATACTGTGCATTCACCATCAATCCTCAATAACTCCGCCGCTGCATCCTGGCTGCCAGTGTGCTTGCCAAAGTTTAACCCAGCTGGATTTGTCAATGCCTACGTCACGTTCCTCAAGCGAGAGGACGACGGCCCTCCTACCCCGCAGCCGAATCAGGCGGACAGTGCGAGTACCACCGCCTCGGACAAGAGCCCTGGAACCGCGTCCAGCACTCGGCCTGGTACACCCGAGCTGCCCATGGTCTCACCAGATATCGCTCTGCTCTGTGTCAGCGGCAACACCGATTTCGAAGCCGTCAGAAACTGGTGTGATTCGATCGCGCAGGTAAGCCGACAGGCGCTGTGTTATGGGTTGCTTCTTAACTCGACGGCATCCAGCGTCTACAGCGGGGTCGTCTGTTAGATACTTTGATAGAGGCTATTCGCGCTGGACAGACTGAATATTCTGTCTCTGACCTGGGCATACCTGGGCTACGCCACTTCTTATACAAATCAAGGGCCCATGTGCAAGCGACAATGCCACTCTTCGAGGATCCATATGACGACTTGAACGAGAAGCGGCGGTACGTGGAAACCGCCCCCCTTCGATCTACCCTACTGAAACATTGTCCTTTATGAAGGCTTGTCACGCTGTATCAGACGTTGTACGATGCAATTCACGCAAAGTCCGGTCAGCAGAGTACGCTGAAGCTACAATATATTCGCACAGAGCGCGAGAGCGTGATGGGATGGGTGAGTGTGATCCGCCCCTCATGGCAGTTTCCTACTGACACACGCCTCCTCAAACCCAGATCACACAGGGGTTCGAGTTGTACCTCTCCATGTCGCCCCTTATACCCAAGGTTGCCGTCGTCGGCGCCGCGAACTCTATCGCACGGTGGGTGCAGAAGGAGGAGAAGCGGCTGTTCCTCCGGGATGCACCGGTGTTTTGATTGGGGGCTTTCAGACTGGACATTGGATTGTCATTGCTGTCGTGTTCTATCTATTGTCGTCGTATGGAATCCTGTGCGCACACCGGAAAGAGCCCGGGAGACATCATCGATATGAGCGCGCGTGCCATCCGCGCACAGCCTCGGACCTTGTGCGCGTCATGGCTGGGGGTGTTTTGCACCACATGACGCTAGCGTTTCCCCGAGCAAAGCCCGTGCAAAGTTGCAAACGGACATGCCCGTTGCCGCGTGCAGCGTCGAGTCTCGGTACGGAGACTTGCCATATACGGAACAAGGGCTTCTTTCCCGAGATTAGACGCCGTCAACTTCACTTTGACTCTCGAGCTCGGCTGCAGAGGCCAGCTCTCCTGAACGCGTGCGCCTAGCTTTGCGTCTTGTCTAAACGCTTCCCCTACGTGTCAAGGGCAAATCATTCCTTCACCGCCGGCTATGTCTGCACTTGGTTCGCGGCTCGCTGCGTTTGCGCCGCGGCTCTCGCGCTCGCTGCAGAACCGCGCGCTCGCCCGCTCGGTCCCGCCGCCGCGAGGTGAGACGCGCCGTTCTGCTTTCCCTGGTTCGGCTCGTCTGATGCAGTGCACAAGCAGGATCGATTGCTACCGCTGGGGACTTTTTGAAGGCGATCGGCCGCTCGGCGGACACGAAGGTCTCGGTGGAGTCGTGGGAGCAGCTATGGCAACTCGATAGCCACGCTCTCAAGAAGGCGGGTGTGGCGGTACGCGATCGGAGGTGCGTAGGCGTGTCACACGACAGTGCTCTTGGTGGCTGAGTGGTCTGACGCCAGATACATCCTGTGGTCTCTGGAGAAGTACCGCCAGGGAGAAGAGCCCTCGGAATTTGCGTTTCCTTCGTCACCAAAGAAGACCATCCGAGGGTGAGTGAAAGTCTTGTGCGACATGTCCGATTTGCCTCATGAGTCCCCGACAGACGAGGTCCTGCGGTGCAAAACGGCAAGCGCATACGTTCGCGCCGTCTGAAGAACTAGTAGACGGCACCATTTGTATACCCCGACCCCCCCTCTCGCACATAGGCCGTGCTAGATGTACAAGTGTATAATTTGCTGTAATACGGCGCACCACATCTTCCTCCCCTTTCAGGATGCCTGAAAATCTCTGGGCCGGTGTTTTCCACAGGGACATCGTAGCCTGCTTGTACGAACTACCAGTACTACCGGTGCTGGAGCAGATGCTTCCACTGTTTGTACACCCCAGCCATTACAAGTGCCATGAAGCAATTGAGCTAGATGAGCTGCGTAATATCCAGCTATACCAGAAGGATCTACCCGTGTATTTCTATCCTGATGTGCTTGCTATTCCCTACTGGGTTCCACATGCACACGTTGCGGCTGTATGCACAAGAAATCTCATTTTTGAGCAATCCATCCGTGTGAGCTTTCGTCTTGCCATTAGACTCCATGAGGGCTAGACTCGTACTATCAATGGCGCAATTCTGTGGCCGCAACAGATATGCGACTTTGCTCATTCTCCTACTTTCTATTCCCTTTAAAAATCCAAAGAACTCATACCATATTATTACATGCACTTGAATGCATATTTAATACTCATTCCTGCATAGCTCGAGAGTGTGCATCACCGGAGACCAAAAGTCATGGAATTGGGCAGTAAGGGAAAGCCGTTCTCGACAATAGGGAGGCAAACACTGAAACAGTTGCAGAGCTGGGCTACTGATAGTAACCAGTCATATAGGACGTGTCGTTCCCCTTCCGCATTCGTACAGCCAGCCACAGATCTCCGATCTCGTGACGAAAAGGAAGGCGGGTTTCGGTGATCTCGATGTCTCCCGCGTCCGAAGCCTACATGAGAGCAATGGCTTGGATGATCGAATGAGGGTCAGATTGATCGAAGTGAACACAATCGAGATGCAAAAGTGTTCGTCTTTGCTTGCTTGCTGAAAAAGCAAAGATATTGTTCTGAACATGTCTCCGATACGGGGAATCGAACCCCGAGCTACCGCGAACTCTGAAAGGCGGTAATGTTAGCCGTTACACCATATCGGACATAGTAGCAAGTTAACAATGATTTAGATATGTGTGTTACAACACTCGGTCGGCCCGTGAGGCGATCTGATCGACAAGAAGACTGAAACCCGATTCGGCTAGAAGCATTGGCGGTGAAGTGGACCACGGCTGTGGATTGCCCTGGAATGCTACCGGCTGGAGCAGTTCAGTTCGCGCCCGGCTGCGCTGACAATGTGCGGCCCATGCGTCGTCAAGCGGAATGCTGTTCAGCGTCCGCCGCGGGACTGCCCTGGCAGGATGGTCCCCGCCGTCGACGAGACAGCGGTGGGTATCGCTGATGCAGCTGACAGCCCTCATTACACGCTCCGCAGCGCACGGGGCCACAGAGAAGCCTACCCTCGGACGCGCAAACGCCTCATGCCAGATAATCGGAGATCGGCCGCAGGATCCCTGCCATAACGCGTAACTGTGAAGTGTCTTAGACGCCATAGGTCCACGCCGTGATCTTAGTGATGGGTTCGGTGTCGCAACTTGCCTTTTTCGCACCACCAGAACGCCAGAGACAAAAGATTGTTGCCTTTCTGGGCCACCGTGCTGCCGAGACAAGGACCGTCGAGACAAATGCTAAAGCACTGCGCGGAGCTGCTCGGGCCTGCTATAAAATACCTGTCCAGCATGCCCCAAGCTCCTCAGAACCTACCCGCCCATCGCCTCTTCCGCACTCTTAACCTCCCTCTCATCCTCAACGCTATACGACATGCACTACATGCACAGCGTCGCTCCGATGCAGGTTGAGGCTTGGGTCCACGACCAGCCTTACGTCCCTCCCGAGGACAGCCTATCGTCGAGCTACCAGTCGCCCCCCTTGCCTCCTTCCATGCTTGCCCACTATGACTCTCCCGAGCCCAGCGAGTCTGGCTCGAGTCATTGGAGCTTGGACCTGGCACCGGACATGTCCCATTACCATGTCCCAAACTTCAACGTTGCAGACGCGTTCAACTCCACCTTTGGTGACCTGTCCTTCAACGACACCCTGCACGAATACGAATACAACACTTACCCAAACTCGTATGTGCCCTCACATGAGCTCTTTCACTCGTACTCATACCCCTCCTTGGCCACATAGGATGCTTAACGCCGATGCGTACGACGCGTCCTATACGCAGCCCAGGGAGTACCTGTACCACCATGGCCTGGTCTGCGTCGCTGCCGAAACCCCTACCACCACCACCATCCCCCTCGCCCCCGAGCCCACCTACACCCCCGACCCCCTTCCCGAGCCGTCCTACACTCCTCAGCACGCTCACGAAACCACGACCTTGTCCCCCGACGCCTTGCGCGCGTACACCATGTCACCCATCTCCCACTTCTCCAGCGACATCGAGAGCTACACGACCGACCGCCCCAAGCAGGCCCGCAAGGCGCGCAGGCGCACCTCGCGCAAGTCCCCCTACGCCTCCCCGCACACCTCGCCCCCCTCCTCCCCGCCCGCGCTCTCCAGCCCCTCTGGCCGGCGCGTCACACACATCCGCTCGCGCAACACGCAGGTCGCCGCCATGCCCACCGACATCGACGTGTCCACCGGCAAGTGTCCGGTCGAAGGCTGCTGCTACGTGCAGGCGAAAGGCCGCTCGCCGGACTTCAAGCGCCACCTCGCGACGCACACCGCGGCGCTCGTCCCGGACAAGTGGATATGCTGCGGCTTGCCCATCCAGGACGCGCGCGAGCGCGGGGTCCACGTCTCGCGCGACACGGTCCCGCGAGAGTACGAGGGCATCCCGATGGTAGGCGGCTGCGGGCAGAGGTTCTCGCGCCAAGACGCGCTCAAGAGGCACCTCGATCAGGGGAAGGGCTGTATCGGCAAGGTGGATGCGCCGTACCTCCGCGGCAACCAGGAGAAGAGTGCCGAGAAGAAGTCGCGCTAGATTCTCTGAAGCGAAGCTGTATCTCCACGATTGTAACCGGTGAGCCCCATCTGCAGTGAACTTTTTTTACTGGATGCTCATCGCCCTCTGTGCAGGTTTTGGAATTGTATCGTTCTCGCCACATGTATGCCTATCTATCTGAACTCTCAATTATTCTCTGTATCTCTCGCCCGTGTCTCCATATGCCTTCCTTCTTCTGGTCTCGTCTCTCGCGGTTGTAACATTATACCCCCTCTTTTAATACCCTTTACCACTATGACACTTACTTGGCTTGACGGCCACCGCAGTCGTCGCTTCCGAACGTACTCTTGTGGATGTAGCGCACTGACTGGATTGTCCTGTGCCCATTGTGCATTGTAACACACTCCTTACGATATTATTGAGACTATGTTTTCTACGCACACTGCCCGGCTGTCCGGTATCATGTTCCGACACCGTTGCGTCATATCCTTTCACTTGGAAGAGTTGTCCGGCATCCCGCGAGACTCGCAGGAACGACAAGCGCCGGGTACCCAGGTTCCTGCAATGGCAAACGGGAAAATCGCGCAATAAATGAGCGCTAATGCAAGTAATAATGCGGAGTAAGCAAGCGCAGCAGGGTGCGTCACCCACCGGATCGCTTGAGAAAGGGGTCATGAAGGTCTATAATAGATAGCAATTCGCTCGTCGGTAGTAATGGCACAGATCTGAATCTTGTCAGGAACGTAGTGAAACTCGATGTGAGACGTTGAGGCGGTATCGATACAGGCAGCTTATGCAACATCATCGTGAAGCAGGACATATTCTCGAGCAGACTCGCCAAATTTGATCACTTGATACCATAACTAGTCAGCCCTAGACTCAAAGTGGGACGTCAGGCGCGGAAGCGACTCACCATCTCCGGGTTTGAGTTCGTAATATCGGGACTGAGGAATGGCTTCGTCATTGACTTGTGTGCCGTTGGTTGACTCTAGGTCAATGATGAACGCTCTAGGATCTGTCTTCAGTGATACCGACGGGTGCGCCAGACTGAACCGCTCTTACTTAACGGTCGTCTTTACATCACCAAATTCGCTCTTCTCCTTCACCTGTCGATCTACAGTGTCGATGAGAACAGACACGAATACAAACTGAGGAAAGAAGACTCACACTGTATGACTGCATGCTGCTTTGAACAGGATGGATGCTCGATGGTTATGTCGCATACTGTCCGATCTCTGCCTATGAGGTATGCACTCTGGCGGTGGATATGGAGCAAGTCTGAGAGGGAGTTAAATAGTGTGCATATTAGATAGCACCAGTGATTACTCACCAACTTGCTCTTTGCCCTTGAACACATACAATCTCCAACCCACGGGAGGCTTCCGTGCCTCCGGTGGCTCGTGGTACTTGAGCACCGTCTTTGTCCCATCCACATGCTCGACCGTCTTTGTCGCCGCAGCGAGCAAGCCTGACGGGTTGAAGTTCGGCTTTGCCTTATCCTCCGGAGACTTGGAGCGTGCAGCAGACTTGGAGCGTGAGGCAGGCGAACGATCACGGCGTGGCGAAGCAGAGCGGCGAGATGGGCCTGCGCGGTCTTCCCTCCCTCTCTCCCTCCGCCTGTCCCTGTCGCGGTCTACGCCTGGCCTTTTATCCAGCTCATAACGTTCCCTGCGCCCCGAACGGTCGTCATAGCTGCTGTAATCGTCCTGTCTCCGGCGATCATGGCCACCGCGGTCGTCGCGGTCTCGTGAAGTTGACCTTTCTCTGGTGTCGCGTTCCCGTCGCCGTGAGTACGAGCTCTCCTCACGGTCAAAGTCTCGTTCACCTCTGCGGTGATACCGTGTGCGGTCGTAAGAGTCAGATTCGCGGGCCATACCCAGTCCCTCAGTTTGAACTAACGGAATGTGTGAGTGTAGTTGCACAAGACAGGTAAGGCATGAGAGCAACTGCATTGCGCGCGGTAGCATTGTATTTGTTACCATGGGTACGGCACTCCTCTACAAGTCCGATATGGTGTAATGGCTAACATTACCGCCTCTCACGCGGTAGCTCAGGGTTCGATTCCCTGTATCGGAGGTCTTTTTGCCAATGAGCCACTCTTGGGGGTCCATTCGGAATTTCCGCTTTGAAAGGGGGAGAGTGTGTAAGCGAGTATAAGTACTCAGGTCGGCTGCAGATGCACTTGATTTGTTTCGATAGAAGATGCAAACGCACGAGGACCACTGCACGATTGGTCAAAACAAATCCGATATGGTGTAATGGCTAACATTACCGCCTCTCACGCGGTAGCTCAGGGTTCGATTCCCTGTATCGGAGTACCTTTTTACTAATCACCGACTCTCTAACGCTGGGCATTTGTACCATCGCGTTGACGTGCGAAGTAAGGCTTGAGCTGGTTCCTGGACATTGTTGATGAGTGCAAGAACTCACATTACTTGAATTCTACTACATTAAGGATCTGTATCGATATTGGAAGGAAACATGCGTACATCCACTTTAAGTCATCTTCAAACAGGTTCCAGAATGCTATGCAGCCCATCATTTATGCGAAAAGATAGCATTGGCCATGGGCCAGATATTACAACTAGCTCGTGAATTCCTGCCAATACAATACCATCAAGATGTGAAGTACTGGATGAATGTATGGTATCCTGTGCCCCATGTCGCCATCTGGTCTGTACTTGATTGCATAAGTGGCCTATTTTGAAGTTTCACCATGAGTGCAAAACTTGAGCCTGTATCAACAAAAACTCCGATACAGGGAATCGAACCCTGAGCTACCGCGTGAGAGGCGGTAATGTTAGCCATTACACCATATCGGATATTTTTTCGTACGGTATCCCGCAGTTGGGACACGGTTGCCTGTATTGGAGTACCTTTGTCCATCAGGACTTCACGATCCAAGCTGACAGTTCAACAAAATGAACAGATCTCTCAGCGGCAAAGGAGGAAAAATACACTTAGGGTTATATCTTGATCGTCAATTGCCTCGATCATGAAAGTGATAATTGATCGTAATTTCTTCTCGACAACATCGCCCGGCTAATCTCACAGAGATCTCGATGCAGCATCTACGCAAAATATAACATAAGGTGGTCCCGGTTTTATATTGGATAGATCAGTAGAACCCCTTCGACACGGACGTGTCCTTCA